GCTCTGCAGCACAGAGCCCCCTCCTCATGATTAGATGGTTGGGAAAAAGACAATATCAGGATGTTTAAATATTAATTTGTCTGAAAATCTATTGGTTATGAATATTTGGAAGATAATGTTGCTTAATGGTTTAAAAAAAACTCATGTGCATCAATAATCTGCATGGTAATTTCCCACACGTGATATTCTTCAAGTCAGAATCCTATTGAGTGACTCCTGTATTCCATGTTTCCAAGTCATCCTCTAATAGTCACCCAATTTCATGGAAATTAAAGGGATTGCTGCCTTTTGAAATGCAAATTGAGTATGGAGATTTGGGATGAATTAAAATCTGCCTCCCTGGATGACACAGTGAAATAAGCTCCTCGTGACCCGTTACGTCTGCAGTGCCGTGTTGTCAGCTCCAGACTCATTAGGGATCGGACACAGCACTGCAGCACAGAGACGAGGCAGCATCGCTACCGCAAAACAAGTCACAGGCTTCAGATGTTAGTCGTTGACAGTGATTTTCATATTTTTCTTTGTTGAAACGGGAAGAAAATTCCACAGTGTTTTTTGAGCTTGCAAACCTGTAATAAGCAGAACTCTCTCTCCTCGACATGCTGTCAGAGCATCGGCCTTCTTCACATTAACAAATGGAATCAACTTCTTTGATGTGTGTCTTCTCTCCATGATGAGTTATGGCCCCCGTGTTACACCCCCCGCCACACAGGTGTCTCTGCTATTTTTGCATTTTGTAATTTTCCTCCCCAGCGTGCATGTTATTTAGATAGCAAATGCACTTCTTCCCGAATGAGTCTCCAGCCGCTTTGCACTGGCGTAAGATCGAGCCCCAAGGTCATTGTCAATTGATTTATTCCTCTCTGCAGCCAAATGATAACTCCAGTTATTCAGTTAGTGAAAATCTTATCAGGTTACCTCCACCCAGCTGGCAGCCTACGCCTCTACCAAGGAGGTTTCATCACCCCTGTCCTTTGGTTTGTTTGTCAGCAGGTTTAGGCAATAAACACTTAACAGATTTCCATGAAACTTTGGGGAAGGAGGAGACATGAGTCAAACAAGAAGCCACTAAATGTTGACAGAGAACTGGATAAAGAAGGTTAGGTCAGGGCTGATGTGCATCAGATTTGCAGGGAACAATCCATGGACCATGATGAGAACAGTCAGTTATATTTAGGAACTAATATCTGTGAATACAAATCTGGATCTCACAGATTTAAATGTGGTTTCATTGGTTTTCTTCAGCAGCTGTACATTCATATATTTTGGGACAGATCCAGACGACAGACCGTAAATAAAAGGACAAAGGGACGTATCCGGGATTTTTAAAAAAAATCAATTTTCTTTGACATCGCAAGATAAGGCAGAGTGGTCGGTTATTGGAGTTGTCAATTTATTCCTCTCTGCCGATAAACAGTAACTCCTTTAATCCCGTCAGTGGAATTCTTATGTACTCAGGACATTCAAATAGCAAGAAAATACCTGAATAATATCCTTGATATTAATTTCATAAGATGCTCACCAGGCAACAGTGATTTCCGTCCGTGTAACACTTTATATTCCGCTCATGCCTGCCAGTGAGCGGACAGTCCGCCCACAGCAAAGTGATTTCCAAACAAGACGATTCCATTTGCTCATCTGCATTAATCCATCAGCAGGGAGATCTTGGAACGATCTGCATCTGTCTCTGGGTTTTTTGCCTCATAAGTAAGAGAACCAACAACACCAAACATCATTGATAAAAGAAGCAGGAATTCGACATGGTTTTAAACCAAGATTGATCACCAGTCATACAGACCTTGGCCTTTCACACCTCCAGTACTCCGGGTCTAGAAATTACCCAGAGATGTTCTCTGCGGATCAAACTTGCCAAAGAAATAAATTAATTGCCTTTCCTCTTTATGTCAAAGCGTCAGCTGGGATGTCAGAAAAGCTCTCTAGCTCTCCGGGTCTCATAAAAATGGGTCAAGTAAAATCTCTCTCTTTACTAATGAAGTCCCCGTGCACTGAGCCTCACACCTGCACAGTTTCAATTACCACAGCGAAGCAGGATGGGAAATCCCGACAGTGCCGGTGCAGCCAGCAGGCACATGGATGAAGCAGATGCAGCGACGGTGCTAGTCTATGAACCGGAGTGTGATCTATCAGCTGTGATTGAGCTGGGGTGTCAGGTTGAACTCTTATTTGTATGAAGATTACTTTAGAGGCAGACTGTTGTTAATTTATAGTTTCATTTATTCATGCATTTATGTATTTATGCATGAATGTTTTTATGTGTTCAATGTAGAGCCAAGACTTAACTTGCTGTTTTTGCATATAAATCTAAATTTGCTGCAGTTGGAAAAAAACTGGATTTGAATTCAATTCTTGTACATTATTGGGAACAGTTTATTTTGTTTTATTTTTTCTTGTGTTTAATGCAGTCGTTTGCATTTGTTAGAAAGGGTAATAGTTTTTTGCAGACTCACCAACATGTTACAATCATTTTTAACATGGACGATACTTATTCAAAAGTCACTCGTTCAGCTCTTGAATCATTGTTTCTGTTCATGCACAGTTCTTGCATGTGTTATACGGTTTCTCAGAGATTCAGAGTTTGTTCAGCAAATTCAGTATTATTGACTTCAGTGTATATTCGGCTCCGCCCAGACCCTTTTCATCTGCCATTGTCCCCTGCTCTCTTGTGAGTCTCTTATCTCTGGAACATGCCTCCGGACAAGGACGGCTCCTGATAGGATGCCGGCCATCGGTACCCACAGGGGGAGGTGGCGTTGGTGGCGGGAGGGGGGGGATCAGATGCTTTGCCAGTGGTTGCAGTCAGTGAAGATTATCTGGCTGAGTTTGAGCTTTACAGACTCGCTCTCATAACTCCCTGGATCGACTGGAACACAGATCAGTGCCATCAAAAGAAGCAAAATCATGTTTGATAGATAGTGAGATTTATTTTTGAGAGGTGGACGTGCAGAAATGTGAGGAAGAAAAGCTCAAATGTCCTTTTCAAATGAACAGAGCTGACGGTACCTTTCCTCTGATATACTTTGCAGACAACAGAGACAGATTCACCCAAACTAAAACCTTTTCAATGCAAATACTAGATCTAAAACATCCACAATAATACATCCTCCCTCTGGACTGTGCTTGCTTCCGCAGGGTCAAACAATTAGACGTCAATCATGCATCCAGAGAAGGATCATTAAAGAATTAAGAAATCATTATAGATGCATTAAATAAGATTGAACTGTCAGTGGGTTTATAGAAGTGTGTTTGCTCCGGCAGCTGATGATGACAGTGTTTTTTATTTCAAGTGGAACTGTGTGAGGGAAGAGATTATTGTGTCCTGGCTGCTCACTGGGCTGAAATACAAACCATGAAACTGTGACATGGGTTTGAATGTGGCACAGGCACTTTGCAGTAATCTCTTCTCCCCTAGTGTTTCCAGTCTGTCTCCACTTTTAATTACAAAAAAAAGCCAACAAATGTTAAAGAAATACAAGTTGGATTTCAGAAAGCAAAGTTAAATGTGACAGAAAGATTTAATTGAATAAGATTATACTGATTCTTTCCCCTAGGTCCATCCAGCACCTTCCCACTGCCGTCTCTTTCCCCCCCAATTATTCCAGATCTCATTGAACCATCATTGTGGTAATTTCAGGCTACGAGAATGTTATGAGGGTGAGAAACCTCTCCTAATCCAAGCATGCAATTCTATGAATAACAATGGTGAAACTCCATCCTGAATAAGCCATTACCTCTCCATCGCTAATTTCCTCTTTATTTACCTTTTTTTTGTTTTTCATGGCTTTACTCCAACGGCCCCTTCCATCTGCCATATCCCTGATTTCTGTTGATCATATCTCACTAACTTTAAGATGCAAATCCTTAAACTGCTCTCACACTCACGTTTGCATGTCCACAACAGGAATGCAAACATCCCATAGATTCTAACCATGCATCCTGCAGGTGATTATATTCCTCCCGTACTACTGATGCCAATTATGGCGTGGCATTGCAAGATTTATGTGCAGACAGCGGGCGTGTGACTTAGATACAACAGGGCTATTAAAACACTTCTCATGAATAGCCTGGTATTTCAACACAATTGCCATATTAATCTCCTCTATGCACATAAGCCCAGACATCACATAGGGAGATTAGTTTCCGAGATCGGTCACTCATGTAATCTTGCAGATGTGTGTGTTGCAATCATGGAGATTGCATGTGCGTAGCTGGATCTTCCAACTTGTGTTGTGTTTCAACAGTGTTACCTGAGGTCTGTTTTTTTGGGTGGGTGTCATGAAAGTGAAAACTAGGACATTAATGTTTCAAGAGTCAACAGAAAAAAAAAAAAGAAAGCATTGTTTATTTTGAGGCGATGAAAAACCAGAGTCAAGAGTGATGCAGCTAATTTTGAGTCTCCATTTTCTTCCCCTGAAATCAAAAGCGTCAGACTCATGAATGATGAGACCATCGATGCAAGAGCAATCTAAGATAAAATCATGAGAAGAAAATTGCAAGAAAAATCCTTTATTTAATTCAACTTTCTGTGAGGGCTGTTCATTTGTCCTCATAAAGTAACACTTATTCCTTTCGACAGAACCACCTGATCGTCCTAAATGGATGCATTCATCAGCATTAAATTACTAATTAAAATCCTCTATAGGAAAACAATCATGACAAACTGAGGCGACAACAGAGATTTACAAACACAGGGATGAAAAGCAGACAGTCTGATACACTGTTTGGATATTATCGACGCTGGAAGCAAAACCAGTCAGTGTTTTCTGCTTCCTGCCTCCACTCTGCCCACTAATTTAATCAAAATCTGTCTCTCAAAATATCTGTTTCCTGCCACATTAGTGTGGTTCCCCTCCAAACAAGCGAGGGGGTCACTGCTCCTCCTCTCAGTCCATCTGTCATGTTTACAGGTGCATGTTGCTTCGCTGCCACCACAGCTTATTTACACACTTGATTATTTTTGAAATACCTCTGGCTGGGTTATATTCATCATGTGGGGATGACGGTTCCAAACTGGGTATTAGTCACCTACGCCAAATATACTTAAAACTCCAATAAGATATTCATAAAAATTCAAATTCTACTTAGTGCTGATTATGTGTCAACGTGCACGTTGTATTTAGCATCCATGTGTTTCGTCCCTATGCTTGTGCCTTAGTGCAAAATGAATCGATTCTGGATTTTGCACATTTATTTCAATAGTTGTCACAAATCACACTTTTCAGTCATTACGTTATGGCAAAAAGATTTTAGTGTCCCATCAAGTTCTCTTTACAGTCAGAATCCTTAAAGGTCTTAAAATGTAAAGTTAGTTAGTGCAAACAATGACCTGGAAAGATATGACTGGATGTCCACAATGACCTGGAAAGATATGACTGGATGCCCAGGCTGCAGTTCCTTTTAGACAGAAATGTGTGTGCATGTTTCTGTCACTATCACACAGACATGTAGAAGAATTACATATTTTTGCAGTGTGCAGATATAAACAAATATTTTACCCTTAAATAATATAATGCACACAATGATTCCCTATATCCATTCTTTCTCTATTCTATACTTTCTTCAGGGTTGCAAGGGGGTGAAGCCAATCCCAGCAGACATTGGATGAGAGGGGAGGTACACGCGGCACTGTCAATCAAAGACACAAAACAATTCACGCTCACACCGACTGACAATTTGTCTTTGTACTGTGAGAGAAGACCCGAGTGCCTGAAGAAAACCCACAGACACAGAGAGAACATGCAAACTCTACACCCAGATTGAATCAGGATTCAAACCAACGACCGGATTACGGAACCTGCTTAAACCTTGTGACTGTCATGATTCAACCCCAGTGTTATCTTATGGGTTTAAAATCTTGAGTCTGGACTTCGATTTTGTCCATTTGCTTTTAGGATTTAGATCTTTGTTTGCTCTTTGAGTTCTTTATTTCACACTTCCTGTCTAGTGTACTTTGTGTATTTAGTCTGTGTGTTCTCCTTTGCTCAGTGCCAGTTCTTCTTTTTGCCTGTGTGTTTTGAACACCTCTGTTTTTTTTCATGTATCAAACCTGTGCATCTAATTAAAGTGTTAAACTTCCCTTGTGTGGCATCTGCATTTGGGTCATCTTCTGTTGTCTAGATGTAACAGCTGCACCGTGCTGCCCTTTAGGTTCAGGTGTTTACACAGCTATTACGAAAAATGTTATTAGGATTTAGGATTTTCCCAGATGCACACGCAGACATGTCTCAGACAAACATGTTGACACATCCTGTCGGTGACATCGTGTCCTTTCAACAAAATTGGGAAACAGGACTCGACCTTGATCCTGGCATCTGCTGTTGATCACGTAGTTTATTAACCAACCAGAGGAAGGTTAACAGGGAGACATTACGTGGATTAGTTGAATTAAACTTTTAGCCTCTCACTGGATGGGAATGTATAATTCCTGCACAGATACTTCCACACTAACCATATCTACATTTAAATGCATTAGATGAGCAGTTAGACGGCCGCTCCTCTGTTGATGCGGTGCAGGCCATGTGTACGATTTATTGAAAGAAATTATATCCGTACTGATTTCATGATACTTGAGGGAAATCCCATCCTGCATTAAACAAATTAGTTTGGCCAACAAAGCATTTCAAATTCTGATGACAAAAACTTTTTTTATTTTCTTCTTTCAGTCAAGCTCCTGCACGTCTGCCTTTATCTGAAAGAATTCCTCACCTTGAGAAAAGAAATGACAAATTATTCATGAGTCCCATTAAATATGCCACAAAGAAACCAGTCTTATCCAGCAGCAGTTGTTAATCCAGACTCAAACCTGACGTATAAAACTACCTGCTGCGTCTCAACCTGTTCTCTGCTCCAGCTGCACAGTCGAAAGGCTGATCTCTTCGCTTTTCTTGGAAAACTTAAAAACAGACGCAAAATGACACCGCATGGAGAAAACACCTGGTTGACTGGACGGCAAACACACAGCAGCACAACACTCATATTCAATAATTCACCAGCTGATTTTCCCTTTGACATCCTTTTGATGTGACTCAGTGTCACACTTTCAAGCTGTTGCTAAAAGAGATTGTCACACAATATTACAACATGGCTTTATGTGTACACTACAAGACTCTAGAGTGGTAGACAACAGTACGCAGAATAATGCATAACAACTCCTGGTCTTGCTTTATCATCACAGACAGTTCTTTGTCCTGCTTTGGCCTGTGGACCATGCACTGCACAGTATGAGGTAGATTATATATAGAGGGCTATACTATGTCATTTGGTAAGATCGGAGCAATGTCACTCTACTCAGGTCATTCTTCATATCTGGCAGCCATTGAATTATACCTCAGTGCCAGGGACACGCAGCTGCGGCCGGATGTATAATGTTTTTGAGCTCCCCGCCCGTCCGTCTGTTTGTCCCCTTCTCCTTAATGCAATATCTCGGTGGAACTTCTTAAAATTTTACCTTCATCCTTGACTCCAGACACGTGTGCAATCGGTTTTGTTGGTCAAAGGCCACTCTGACCTCACGTCTGTGCTACTGTCAATAACACTATATATCTACAGGACAATGTCAAACTCAGGAAGACAACACTCAGAGTCCAGAGTGATCTGATTTCTGTGGTAAAAAAGGTCAAAGGTCACTGTGACCACACAAAACTTGTTTTGGGTCAGAACTTAATTAACACATTATCTATGAAAACAAAAATACAGTGACCACTTTGATTGGTTGACAAACACACACAGGCGACCTCTGATGAAGACATACAAAGGTCTCGGACCAGTTGGACTCCTGGACCCAGCTCTTTAAATTTAAACAAACATCTTTGTATGTGACCAACAATTGCACACTCTACTTTGCATTATGGGATCATTTCCATCTGTTATTCATCTAATAAAAATGTGTCACTACACATGATTACACAACCAAGCTAACACACTGCAGTATCGAGCGGACTGCTGAATGACCAGTGTAGAGTTTGTGGATGTTCTTGTACGGAGACAAACAGACATTTGTTCTTTACCCCCATGTTCATAATGTTACATCTGTTCAGACCTAACGTCCAACAATGTGATCTGACAGAGCTTGATATGTGCAATGGCATAATTAATAAGATTGAGTGTAACTCTCAACCAAATCTCAACCCATTTCTTACTGGAACATTGCATTGTGCTCTCTTGTAAATGTCATAATAGCGCCACCTAACATAAACCTGAGCAGAGCTGTAATCAGATTTTTATTTACTAAAGCACGTCAGCAGGACTACATGCAGGTTAAAACATGTCCTGAATTATAAACAGGTATTTAGTGCATTTTTTATAAATGTCAATTTAAGTTTTATAATTCTTTTTTCTCGTGCATAAAACTTTCTGGAATAAAAACTATTCTAAAAACTTTCTTTATTGGAGGAGTGAGGATTTGAGGAGTGTGACAGTTTTAAAAGTTTGTATTTGCATCTATAAACCTGGAGCCTGAATCAGATCAGCCAGATGTGATACCATATGAAAGAGAGCTGTGATTTGAAGATCACTGCAAATTTCTCCTTGAAGCTTTTTTTTTTTTTAAACTAATTTGGAAAAGCTTCAAAGCGGCAAGAGATGTGTTCATGGGGCTCTCGCGCTTTTGGAGTTTAGATGTCATGAGTCAAGTATTGCTGCCCGACTCAGTGTGATTGATTACTCTACTGCTACCTTATTATGGATCTACTGCCAGCGTCACAGTCTGTGATTGAATGATAATGACCCTAATAAACAATTAAAATCTGTATTTGCTGCAAGAACACAACAGATGTCAGCCAGCAATGACAGCGAAGGTCACGGACCCGATTCCTCGTGTTTTTGCATCCCATAGTTGTACACACTGAGGTGGGGTTTTAGGTTTAATGTGTGTAACATTATATACATCAAGCTTAAATAGAGCTATGGGTGGGAAACCTCAGGTGTGTGGATAAAATAGGAATGTACTTGCCAAACATTACTCCTGCTATAAAGGTCATGCTCCACGTAGACTAGGTTTTAAACAAGCTGCAAGATAAGTGTTACCTTTATTGAACTTCCATAGAGGAAATTGTTGATCGATTGCTTATATGTTTTATATTTAATTCAAAATGATTACTCTCTATGTATTTTTGCATTTATTGGCTAATGTGTGCACCACTGTTGACTACCACTGGGCCAAATTGGATAATAAAGATCCACCCATCCATCCATCATGGCAACTATCAAGAAATAGATGCTAAATATCAAGTTTTCCAAGACAGTAATGAAAAAGGTAAATTTCAAACATCATTACAGTTTGAAAATATGCTTTGAGTTTCAAGGACAAACACATTGATCAAGTTAAGCTTGATTAAGTTTCAGCAAATATTGGGAGCCCGGCGAGCTGCTTACACAAGAACGTGCTGTGCAGCCTCGGGAGCCAGGAAACAGCTATGACGCTGAAACCTTATTCTGAAGGAGAATTTATGAAGGAGCATCTTGTTGCTGCTGCTGCAGAGTCAAATTGTTCCACGGATATGACACTCCCTGTCAAGTTTGATTGATGGTCACCCTGCAGGAGAATCACTTAGAAACAACACTAAATCCCTGTAGTCCGCAGCGGTGGGTGAAATAGCCAATACAAGCTGGTGACTGTAAGATAACAATTCACCAGCTCTCCACCACACACAGGCCTCACCCTGATCCCAGTGAATTGGGCCACAGCCTTCACAATCCTCTAACCTTGACTGTAACACAGCAGGAGAGTATCAGCTGATCGTGCCGTGCCCCGGCACAGCGTGACACCGGCTCTATCTCAACACAACAGGTATTTTCTGAGTGTGAGGCTGAGAACTAGTAAGAGACCGAGCTGCAGGTAACGCAATACATCTGCCTGAGAGCCTGTCCTTCATAGCACTGCAGGTCAAGCCATCTTCAAAACACAGGAGAGCAAATAGAAGGAAAATGGAGGAGACTCTGGGTCACAAAGAAAAACGCTGGGACGTGGTGGGACCACGCCGCTGTGCCGGGAGAGAAAAGAAGATTCTTCTTAACTCTTCTCAGCGAGTCAGCATCTTTCAGCGGAACCAATTTCACCGTCTGTAGCCGGTCCAAGAATTTCTTCCAGGTGAGAATACAAAGCAGCATCTGTTCTCCACAGACCGCACATTAACGGGACACACATCCATTTTCAAGGCAACGGGTCATAACCAGAGTAAAGACCTATTTATCATCCTTTTACTAAAACCAAAAACCAGTGCTCTCACAAAGTTCACTACAGGTTTTACTTTTAACCCATGAAAAGTTGGTAAAGTAAGATGATAAAAATACACTGATTATTTCTCGTTTGATGTGAATATCAACCACAGTCCCTTTCAAACTACAAAGCTGCCCTCCCTGTGGAATGATCCCTCGTCGATGTGCAACAAAAAAAACAGGAGGAACAGGAAGGCGAGAAAGAGTCGGGGTAAAACTGAACCTCGTTTGAAGCTTCCTCTCGAGGCCTCGGGGGAACGCACATGTTGGAATCGATCAGGATGAAGTAGGACTTTAACTTCAGGTCAAATCCATTTTAACCATCACAGAATAAAGTACAGTGATGGTTTAGAATATTTGTACTACTTCACGACGTAAAAATAAAAATTTTGCTCCAGCTTTTGTTTGAG